GGATGGGACGTGGAGAGGGGTTGGTTGAGGGATTGACTGCGTGCGGTGGTTTGTTTTGCAGTGGAGACGAGACGAGACGAGTCGGATGCTGGGTGAGTTAGTTTATTTATTTGTTTATTTAGTTAGTGTTTCAAATTGTAATGTTAATAGTAATAACTATTATTATTATTATTGTTATTATTATTAATATTATTGTTATTATTATTGTTGATAGTATAATGAGATGATAGAGATGCGTTATGGTATGTTTACGTAGAGTATATGGCCGTGTAGTGGTGCTGTTTTAGTGTTTGGTTTTTGATTTTTATTTTTACATTTAGGGATTTTACTTTTGAGAAGGACTTTGAACCGTTAAAGACACTTATTTTTTAGGGGTGCAGTGGGATTGACTGCGTTAAGGGTTTTTTCTTTTATATTGTAGTAGTAATATAAGTAGTAATAATAGTATGAATAATAGTAATAATGATAATAGTAAAATAGTAAGTTAAGAAGTATTTTGAAGGTGAAAAATACTTTTAGCAGTTTAGAATAGAATAGAATAAAAAAGTTTTAAAAATAACGAATTGGTGGATTGATTTATGAAGTGTAATATTGACAGCAGTGAAATGATAATGTATCGATCATTTGATCGGACTTGATCAGAATTGATTAGTGATTGAATAGGTATTGGTTGGGTTGTTGTTTATGGAGTTTGGTAAAAGATATAAATGGTGAACGTTTTGGGAGAGTGCTCAGTGTGTTGATTTGTTTGCGTGTGAGTGGTCGGTTGGTTGGTTGGTTGGTTGGTTGGTTGATTTGGTGATGTGATATGGAATTGTTTTGTTTTGTATTGTATTGTGTGTTTATTTTTGTGATATACTCATGATTGGACTGATTAGACTGTGTTGTTGTTTGTGTTGCTTATCTCAGTACAATTCTTATCTGAATACAGAGCAGAGCCTATAGATTGAGTCTAGAAATTTACCCGAGAATCTAGAAATTTACCCGAGAGTCTGGAAGTTACCCAAAAATTTACCACCTGAAAATAGATAGGTATTCCCCCCTTCCCCTTCTCCCATTCGACTCAATAATAAGTACTCGTATCGGGTAGTTGTCCGTAGTGTTCGTAGTTCGTATTAAAAAAGAATGTGCAATAGGATTTGACTATATTGCAGTTGGTAAAGAATGTATTGAAGAATTTTAATGAATGAATTAATTAATTAATGAATTAATTGAGTGCAGGTAGGCAGGCAGGTAGGCATCATGCATTGTGTAGTGTATTGTTGGTGTGGTCTTTAAAGGTCATGTGATACGATGGGTTGATGTGATAACGTAGTGTGTTGTAATGATTCTATCTATCGCTTTTGATTATTTTCTATAGAGGTAGTTGGTTAGTTAGTGGTTTGGTGTATGCAGTAGGCAGTGTTGGCATGTGACTGTGGTGCTTGATTGGATAGACTGTTTTAATGGATGGCGTGTTGAGTTTTATTTGGTGTGATCAGTTGATTTGTGTGATCAATTGATTTTGTGTGAACAATTGATTTTGTGTGATCAGTTGATTTGTTTGATCAATCAGTTGATGTTTTTGTTATTGTTATTATTGTTATGATTTATTATTATTATTGTTGTTATTATGTTTATTGTTGTTATGATTTATTATTGTTATTATTATTATTATTATGATTATAATTAATATTGTTAAAAAGAGTTTTAGAATAAAGTTTAGTAAGTGAAATGGCAAAATTGATCGATGGTAACGAGGTATCGGCGAGTGTTCTCAAAGAAGTGGGTGAACAACTGAAGGAAGTGAAACAGAAACATGCAAATTTTAATGCGGGTCTTGCCATTGTGCAGGTACTTTTTATTATTTATTATTTATTATTATTATTGTTATTATTATTATTATTACTTTTATTATTGTTATTATTGTTATTATTATTTATTGTTATGTTATAAATATAGTTATTTATTGTAAAAATTAGAGTGTTTGAGGTGGGTAATCGAAGTGACTCGAATGTGTACGTTAGAAATAAGTTGAAACGAGCGGCGGAGATCGGTATGAAAACCGAGTTGGTGAAGCTGTCAGAGGATATAACGCAGTCGGATCTGGAAGAGACAATCGAGAGGTTAAATGCCGACGATACGATCGATGGCATTATCATACAGGTGTGTTGATTGAATTGTGAGTTGCTGCTGCTGCTGCAGCAGGTGATAGATAATAAGAAGAAGCGATAAGGCGAAGAATTGTAGCTGCCATTGGATTGCAAGAACGCGATCGATGCGGATTCAGTGATCGATCGTATCGATCAAATGAAGGATGTGGACGGATTGACTAGAGAGAACGCTGGACGTCTGATGCGCGGCGAACTGGACCGATGCGTATTGCCGTGCACACCATTCGGGTGCTTGAAGCTGGTACAGTATGCCACTGGTGGGTTGTGTTTTAATTGTTGCTTGGTTGGTTGGGTATTTGAAGTGGAGTTAATGAGTTAATGAGTTTGGGTGATTTGCAGGGCAAGATGACTACGTGAAAGGTAAACGCGTTGTTGTGTTGGGACGGTCGAAGATTGTCGGCTCACCTGCAGCCGCACTGTTCATGTGGCATCATGGCACGACCACCATATGCCATTCCCGAACCACTGACTTGAAAGCCGAATGCCTGCAAGCCGATATTCTGATCGTAGCCATTGGCAAGAAACAACTCGTCAAAGGTGATTGAGATTCATCTATTATATGTGAATTTACTTACTTACTTACTTATTTACTTACTTACTTGATTACTGGTGACAATAATATTGGTAATAGTAATAAGAATTATGAATTTTAAGGAGACTGGATCAAGCCAGGTGCGGTGGTGATCGACTGTGGCATCAACGTAGAGGAGGTGGAGGGAGCGAAACGCAAACTCTACGGTGATGTGGACTTGGAGGGGGCAAAGGCCGTGGCTGGTTATATAACACCAGTGCCCGGCGGGGTTGGCCCGATGACCATCGCGATGCTCATCAAGAATACTTTCGACCAGGCAGTCAAAAGAAAACTTAGTGTAGGTTTTGGTATTATTATTATTATTATTATTATTATTATTATTATTATTAT